AGACCAGATTGACCTCCATAAATCCTGTCTGTCTCAAAGAGGGGTGTGTGTGTTTGGGGGGAGATATAAATCACAAAGGGCTGTGTCAATTAGTCAACTAGGGTAAACAAATATAAATGCTATCAGGATTGAAAGAAAGGAGTTGATGACTCTTGCCTGAGACCGTCCTAGAGGGCTCTTCAGGCTGGGGCATCCAGGAACAACAGAGACTGGGATAAGTACAGGGTAAGGAAAGCTGCACTTACCATTGTCTGATTTAATTTGGTTTGGGGTTTTTGGAGATAGTGCCTTGGTATGTGGCTGAGGCTGGCCAGGCTCCTGAGTGCGGGGAGCCTCTAGCTTGTGCTTCCTGTAGACCCCAGCGTCTGACACTGGAGCTGCCAGGACCACAGTGTGATTGAACGAACCGTGAGCTTTCCTTGCTCTTTTTTGTATTGAAATTTGTGGGTCAAGGAGCTCAGTAGCTCCCAGCAATGGTCTTCTTGTTCCCTAGACAGGAGAGGGTCTGGCTAAAGGATTAAGGGCAAAAACACTGGAGTTTAACATTAAAGTCACTGGGAACTCCTCCCTCCCAGCAGGCGAGCTGTTGGGCCTCTTAGGTTACCAGTGTGCCCCAGTTAGGTGGGACCCACCTCCTCTCTCCCCAGTGTTTATTGCTGCAGAGCCCTGCCCAAGGGGAGCTGTCGAATCAGCTTTCTCCGGCTGAGCCAGCTCTGCAACCAAGCTGTCCTGTATCTCTCTCATGACCCACCCCTTAAGTAAACAGCTCTGGCTGAAGAGGTTATGGTGTGGTTGCAAAGGCTGTGTCAGACAGGAGCTTCTCTCTCCAAGAACGACCTGCTTTTCTTCCGGTCTGACTCAGGGCCATTTGGGAGACGGGGGAATCTACTTGCCCGAAAAGGTAGTCACAGCAGAACTCCATGCTGGATGAAACTCTTCTCCCTGTCCATGCACTTAGGCTTCCTCCTCATGAAAGCCTGGCCCGGTCTGTCTGGGAGACAGACCCTCAGGATGCTTTTCTCCATGGAATCTGGCCTGACACATCAGACACTGCAGCTTGGCTATCCAGTAGAAATGGACCTACTACCCACCATCCAGCCATCTTAGGCTAGACCTTTAACTGCTGCCCTGTGAGACTGTACACTGTGGGTGTCGCATGCTGCTGGCTTAGCTCCATTAGGCTTCTTTTCTTTGGCATGCCCTGGACTCAGGGCCAGGGCTTTTGACTTAGGCAGACAGAGAAAACATCCCTGACTTGTTATCTAGGCTTTGTGTTCATGGCAGTTGTGACTCAGTGACCGGGAGGGCTCACTCCAAGGTTCTGCTAACTTAGCTGAGGTGGATTAGGTGACAGGTGCCTGGGCTCTACACCTGAGGGCTACCAGTGTGGAATGAGCCTGCTGGAGGCTCACAGCTTTGGGGAAGACCTGCAGACCCAGAACTCAGCAGACGGTCTCATCTTGGAGTGGGTACTGGACTAAGCCAGAGGTATACCAAGAGGAAGAGCTGCTTGCTATATAGGAAGAGAAAGCCAGGGGCCCCTGCAAGGTACCCTCACCCCCTAGAAGCCATCTAGAGGAAACCTCAAGTCTGCCCCACTCTCACCAGGCTATCAGATGACCGTGCAGCCAGGAGGCACATAAACCCACTGTGGAAATTTAGATTGCACTTCAGCTGGGAAGGCAACAGGGATGTGACTCTCACTGTAAGACTGAGTCCTCTACACCCAGAAGCCTTCTCCTCAGCAGCTGTGGAGTTCTTTACCCGGAGCCACCTCCCCAGCTCCAGTTTAGGCTTTTGAGAATCCTGTGCCCTGGACCAGAGCTGTTCAACAGAAGTACAGGAGACACATAGCCAATAAAAGCAATCGAAGCCAGTGAAGTTAGTTTTTAAACTAGTTATATTGGGGGGCTGGAAAGGTAGCTCAGTGGTTAGGCTCACTTGCTATTCTTACAGAGGGCCTAAGTTTGTGTTGTACTCCCGAAAGCAACTGTAACTCTAGGTCCAGGAGCTCTGAGGCCTCTGGCTCAATGCTCTGCCCCAGACACCTTATGGAGCCATTACCTGGAGGCCCCAGGCCTGGTCTATGCATGGTATTATCTATCCTCAATATTTTTTTTTTTGGGGGGGAGGAATCATTTATAAATATGCATAGGATAAAATTGAAAAGAATACGTTGTTATTAAAGGAAGCATTGCAAGACATGTGGTACAGAGATGTTTGTGGTAACGCTGTATGTAGCACTGAGAGGTCAGAAACAGCATACAGCAGCAGGGAGATGGGTGAATGAGCTGTAGGCCATTCATACAGCAGCAGGGAGATGGGTGAATGAGCTGTAAGCCATTCATACAGCAACAGGGAGATGGGCGAATGAATTGTAGGCCATTCATACAGCAACAGGGAGATGGGTGAATGAGCTATAGGCCATTCAGACACTGGAGTTCTCTGTCAGAGTTTTAAAAGACAGTATGGTCAGGCATGGTGGCACATACTATATACATAGGTAATTGTAGCACTTGGCTGGGTGGATAGCCTGAGCTACATAGTGAGACCAACAGAATGTTGGGGGCTAGAGAAATGGCTCAGTGGTTAAGAGCTCTGACTGCTCTTGCAGAGGTCCTAAGTTCAATTCCCAGCAACCCAGATGCTCACAATCATCTGGTAATGGGATCTGATGCTCTCTTCTGGTGTTTCTGAAAACAGCGACAGTGTACTCATATACATAAACAAATCTTTAAAAACAAAACGGGAATGTTGATATTGACATAAGAACCGGGCATGTAGCCCAGTGGTAAAGTACTTGCTTAGCATGGGCAAAAATGCTAATATGGAAGTATTCATCTGTATGGAAAAAGTGTTCAACGTGTGGAACAGGAGGATCAATGAGGTCATCTTAGTTACACGCATAGAAGCGTGCTTAGAACAGATGCACGCTGACCCCCAATATTAGCGGCTGTTTCTCCTTTAAATTTTTTTAAACAACTTTTGTTTCTTTATTTGTATTTTCCTGAGACACAGTCTTGTTACACAGCAAGACTGGCCTTGAATTCTCAACCCTCGGGTCTTGGCCTCCAGAGTGCTGAGATTGGAAGTGTGCACTGCCGCATCTAGCGTCCTTCACCACAGAGCCCCACACAGCTGCTCTCGTAATTCTAGTTTCTCTGCACTGAGCAAGAATGACTCCCGTGGTACAGAAATGAAATGTACAGAAGTAGAAGAGGGGTGCAGAAATCAAGGGTTCGAGCCTGCAGCGTCCACTCCTAAATGTATCCCAGAACCCCCAAGTACAGGTTTATAATGCCATACCCGAGACAGTTGTATTTAAAGGTAGCAACAAGGGATTATTAAATGTTCGGGAGTTGAAGTTAGAACATTAAAACTCATGAGCCAGCTTTGGCTAAATATCTATTTGGGGAAGTGAAAGTTGACTATGGTACAATCTTGTTTTGAGTGGAATCCACCTAACTCTTCTTATGTGAGGTCTAAATGCTCCATGGGGATTAAGTAATGATTATGAAAGAGACAGTCCTAAAACCATGTGTTAAAGGTGATAGATGAATGGATCGTCATTAACACAAGCACGCCCGCGCATGTGCACACAGACACGAACGCATGCGCACACAGACGCATGCACAGTCCCGCGCAGGACCTCTTTCCGTTACTTTCAATGCTGACACCTTGCCCCAGCTACTTCTACCCCGTGGCTCATTCACTACACTCTAGCTGAGCCCTCTTCCCAAAGAGCGATCGGCCACTCCATTCCTCTTCATAAAACCCTTTAGTGCTCGGGAGGCACCTGAGTCTTCACTGCCTCCGCTCAGCCTGTCCTGCCTTGCACATCTTAATGCCTGTCCCTTTGCCACGTCTCATGCCAGCCGCACTGGCCTTTACCAGTGGTTTGCCCTTCCAGTTCCCTTTCTGGAATATTTCTTACCCATCGTGCTCTGCTTCCTTACCTCCTAGAGGTCTTTGCCTGTGGCTTAGTAACGTCTTCCTCAGCACCCCAAACAAAAGATCCACCTCTTCCTTAGATATTTCAACTGTCTTCCTTCTTTATAACATTTACCTTCGCTGACTAATGACAATTTGTTTATTGTTTGTCTTCCTGCACCAGATTGTAAATGCCCTGAGGGCAAAGACTGTTTTCTCTAATGTCCCTTAGTCCAGTATCTGCAGACTTGGGAGGAATGAATGGACGTTAGGAACGTGTGACAGATGCTCATTCTGCCAAGGAGGTGCCCGAGGAAGGCTCCTTGCCCTGCTCCAGGTCACAGCTGGGATACACAGCTGACGTCCTGACTTTAGCCCCTCAGCATCAACTGCACACAGGGAGGGACCCAGGCCTTGTCTGTTCTACTTCCCTGTGTTCTTCCAGTTCACACAGAACGTCAGCCCAGAATAGCAAAGGAAGAAACAGCTGTTCCTGCAGGGTCCTGGAAACCATTCCAGAGGGCTCGTCCCTGGAAAAACAGTAGTGAGCTCAGGGTGGGAAGAAAGAAGCAGAGAAAAGGGGTTCCAAGCCATGAGGACCATGCAATAGATTAAGGTCTGTGGTTAAAATAACATCTGCTCCTGGGTTTTCAGAGCAGTTCTGGAAGGTGGGTGGTCTGTCTCACATACCAGGTGGGGCTTTCCTCCATTCCTGGTCCAGGAAGGTTAGAGATGTGCAGGTGGCTGAAGTACTATCCACCCAACAGACAGATGAAGTAGGAAGGAACTGGGCCCAAAGGAGCATCTGGAAACCCCAGTCTGGCCTACAGGCCTGTTGGTGCCTGGCCCAGCCTCCCTCCCCTGTGTCTCCAGACCCCTCCCCCTTGCTGAGATGGTTCAGACAGCCTCTTTGATGCGTGGAGAGCTCTGGCCTTCTCCCTCTCAAGCTCCATGTGGTTTGTTAATGGGCTGTGAAATGAGGGATTTTATCATCCGTGTGAGCACACTGGTGGGGTGCTGATGCTGTTTAGTGTTCTCAAGCCTGTCTGTCTGTCTGTCTGTCTTCCCAGATGCAGCTTCTGGATAAGTTTCCTATTGAAGGTGGTCAGAAGGATCCTAAACAAAGGATTATTCCTTTCCTTCCAGGTAAGCTCAGGTGGCCCCGTGGAGGGCTGGGGGTGACTGGGACAAGCCTCCCCCACCAAGCCCAGAGGAGGCTGCCTTTGGCATGTGTTAACCACTCCCACAAAGGGTTTGCAAACCTCAGTTTTGAAGGCCACTGTCCTCTATCTGTCTTCTCTGGCCTCTCCAGAATCATCTTTGCCAGCCCGTAGTTTATACTTTCTGAGGAGTTTCTGAGGCTCTTGAACTTGTTGTCTTCGTAAAAGGCTCTGTCTGAGAGGATAGGATGTGTGTATAATCCCAGGACTCAAAAGGCAGGCAGAGACAGGAGGATGAAGATTTGGAGGCTACCCTGAGCTACAGAGCCATTCCCTAGCAAAACAAAACTCCAAAGCTGAGCTTGGGGTCATCGAGATGACTTTGGTAAAGATACTTGACACCAAGCCTGACAGCCTGAATTTGATTCCCAGGACCTGCATGGTGGAAGGAGAGAGCCAGCTTCTCCGAGTTGTACTCCGACTTCCACATGCAACCCCACCCCACCCCCATGCACATACAGTAAAAATGAAATAGTAGTTTAAGATCTTCCTCAGGAACATAGTGAGTTCCAGACTGGGCTACTCGAAACTCCTCAAATGGTTAACAGCACTGAGTGGTCTTCCAGAGGGCTCAGGTTCAATTCTCAGCACCCACAGGACAGCTCACAACCATCTGTTTTAGATGCCCCGTCCCCTCCCAAGACATCCAACACCCTCTTCCAGTATCCTTGGGCTTGAAGCAGGCATGTGGTACACAGATATCCATGCAAACAATCTACTCATGCACATAAAAAAATATTTTTGAGATAGGGTTTCTCTGTGTAGCTCTGGCTATCCTGGAACTCACTCTGTAGACCAGACTGGCCTCAAATTCAGAGATCCACCTGCTTCTGCCTCCCAAGTGCTGGGATTAAAGGCATGCGTCACCACTGTCTGGTGTGTGCACGTGTGTGTATGTGTGTGGGGTGGTGTGTTATTTAAAATATATTTTATATTACTACAATATGTATATAATGTATATATAATTTTTTTTTTCTTTTTGGTTTTTCGAGACAGGGTTTCTCTGTATAGTACTGGCTGTCCTGGAACTCACTCTGTAGACCAGGCTGGCCTCGAACTCAGAAATCCGCCTGTCTCTGCCTCCCAAGTGCTAGGATTAAAGGCGTGCGCCACCACTCCCCGGCCGTATATATAATTTTTTAAAGTTAAAAAGTATCATAAACTAACCAACCAACCCAGAATCACAGGGAGACTTACATTCACCTGGGAAAGGATTACTAATCACAAGAACAACTGCCCCCCTGCACCCTTAAATTGAGCATATTCCCTGATTCTTGATCTCCCACAGGCCTTGTGCTACGGTGGCATACTTCTGTAGCACCCCTGTGAGGTAGCAGAGACAGGATTTGAACCGAGCTCAGTCCAGCCAGTCACTGCAGCACCATGTGGAACCCGTTTCATGCAATCAATCATGTGTATTTTAGAGAAATGTCTCTGCTATGCCGTGACCTGCCGTTACTGGGATGTCTATGGTTGAGTCGAGGCCTGTAATAGAATTAGAGCAGGCTTTTTATTTCGGAGAGCTGTTGCTACTGAGAGCTGCGTTATCCTTTATCACGAGGGGTGAAGCTGGTAGGATCCAGAGAGGTTAGCTAAGTACTCATGAAAGTGACAGGACTGAAGCACGACCTCAGGGCTCTGCCCCGAACCATGAGGAGGACACTGGCCCTGGCTTTCTGGGACCTCAAGCCAATAGATTCAGCTGGTTCTCAGGACAGTTCTCTTCACAGTGATCTTCCTACTAGGTTAGTGCTGGCCCTGAACCCTCACAGGCCAGCCTCCTGGATGAGTTGCCAGTTAGATATTAGTGGCCTGTGGTCAGTACCTACTGTTGATTGAAAACAGGTACCTTACATGGAGAGTGGCTCCCCTCTAGAGGGTGTTCCTACCCGACCCTCAAAGTCAGAAAAAGACTTGTGCTATACTTGCAGAGCAGGAACCAGCTCCCGGGAGGAGTAGCCAGATCCTACAGTTTGGACAAGACAAGAACTAGCCGTCGAGCACACGTGTCTCATCCTGCTTCCTCCACTGGAGGCAGAGCACAGTGTCTCCACCGTTGGCCTCTGAGTTGCAAGACTAGATAGTGACTTTGCACGGTGTCCAGGGCATTTAGGGTCTGCAACAACCTTAGATTCTTCTAACAGTCTGGATGCTGCACCCACCTAGGGCCTGGCCATCCAGGGGGATGTCCAGAGGAGCATGAGCTCATCGGTATCACATGGGGACCTGAAGCTGCCTGTTTGCTCAGGAAGAACGGGGGACGGAGGGCTTCTTCCACCCTGTCTCTACAAAGAAAGAGTTTGTCATCCCATCAGCCATGCTCAGGAAGGGAGCTGTCTACACCGGGCTGAGGGGCTAGGGCGAGGGTATCCCAGCTACTTGAAAGATTTTTTTTCACCCAAGGAACCCTTGAAATAGTGAGAGACATGAGCATTTCTACCATCAGAATGACTTAAAGCCAGGCAGTGGTGGCTCACACCTTTAATCCCAGCACTTGGGAGGAAGACACAGATGGATCTCTGTGAGTTCGAGGCCAGCCTGGTCTGCAGAGTGAGTTCCAGGACAGCCAGGGCTACACAGAGAAATCCTGTCTCAAAAAAAAAAAAAAAAAAGACTCAGATTAGGATGTGACCTTCTCTGTTGTGTCGCTGTGTGATACCAAGGGTGACCCCACAAGAAACTCAGAGAGCAAGAACCTGTGAGCTGCAGAAATTAGCAGAAGCCCAAGGAAGGGGCCTGAGACTTGGTGTGGGGCTGGAGGGCATGGCTTGGGTACCACTGACTCAGTTCCATGTCTCAGATTGCCTGCATTGACCCTTGGAAACTTAAGCTCTGTCAATTACCAGCTGTAGTATCTTTGTGCCTCAGTTTACTCATCCAGAAAATGGGGTGATAACAGCATCTACCCCATGAGGCTATAGGAAAAGGAAGACTGGATTAGTGCAGCCCAGGTGCTCAGAACTGTGGCTGTCCACTAGCAAAGGTCCAATAAACGTTAGTCCTTATTACTACCATGTCCTGCATTTGACCAGGCTTTCCCACCACACAGTCACATAAATAATTCATTGTGACTTGAAGCTATTGCCTCCATTTTACTGATGAGGAACTGGAAGCTAGGGCATGCTGGGAGATTTGTGTAAGGACTAACAACCAAGTTAGCCAACACCAGTAGGACTCTTTTGTCTGATCTTTTGGTGGTCCTTGTTTGCGATAGGCTCTCACTTTGAATCCTAGGTTAGACTCTAATTCACTATGTAGCTCAGGCTAGCCTTGAACTCCCCTCATCCTTCTAAGTGCTGGGACTACAAGGACGAGACCCCACTTCCAGTGAATGACATGAGGGACGACTCCTTTGTCCCTCATGCTGGGGGAAGTCAATAGCTGCCGCTCAACTGAGCCCTGATTGACTTCCTCTTCCTTTTGAAGAACTAGAGGAGGGATGAGGGTCACACGTGAGGCACATTTGCATAGTTAATACCCAGAGAAGGTAGCTCTTTTAAAGAAAAAGGGAGGGGTGCAGCCAGGCGTGGTGGCACACTCCTTTTGTCCCAGCAAAAAAAAAAAAAAAAAAATTGGGACACAGAGACAGGCAGATCTTTATGAGTAACAGGCCAGCCAGGGCTACATAGTAAGAACCTGTCTCTCAAAAAATACATAATAAAACAGTTTTTAGAAGGAGTAGGGGTTAGAGAGATGGTCTTGCAGGGGACCCAAGTTCAGTTCTCAGAACTTATGTGGAGCAGATCAATAACTCCAGCTCTAGGGGATCCAAAACCTCTGGCCTCTGCACTCACCTGTTATGCAGATACCTCCATTCTGTGCACATAATTCAAAATAAAATTAATCTTCAAAGAAATATATTGTTAATTTTCTGTGAGGGGGTAGGTGCATGTCATGATGTACATGTGGGGTCAGAAGAAAACATGAACTGACTGTCTCCTTCTAGTATGTTCTTCCCAGGTAGTGAACTCAGTCTTGGAAACAGGTGCTGCTACCTCCCTGAGCCACCCCACCAGAAAAATCAAACACAAGATTCCTTACAACCTCCATATAAATATGACCGCGCATAGTAGGGAGTATTGTTAAGAGAACTGGGGATTGACTAAAACCCCAAAGGAAACTCTCCCTTTTCTTAGCCGTGCTCCCTCTGAGTCCTCCCTTCAGTGGCTTTGTACCTTGAGCTCCTGGCCTTTGCCTACTCAGTTGTCTCTAGGGCTTTAGACTGGGCTAGCCTCTGGAATAGACACCAGGGTTCCTAGTCCTGTGCCTGTCTCTCTCCAGCTTGCTGGAAGCTGCCGTAGACCCTTCATTCTCAGCTGTCTCATCAGAAGGCCTAAGGTTTCTTGCACCAGTGCACCCTCGGGTCCCAGGGGCTCCCCCTGGGCAGAGGGCATTGGGAAAGGCCTGGTTAGTAGCTGAATACCTGTTTCAGCTTGAGACATGGATTCAACTGCAGGTGACTCGGGGATGCTCTCTTTTTTGTGAATTTCCCACTGCCTCGAGTCACCCGTCACCTTAAGAGTAGGTCTTGTGTCACTTGTGACACCTTACCTTTTGAGATGGTGTCTGAGGCCACCTGCTGACTTTCTCCTAGCTGCAGAGGCTTAACAAAACCATAAGAGTGCGCACACTCCATGCATTTCAGACAGCCGCTAGGACGGCTCTGGCAGCCTTTTGTCTCGCCTGGAATTTCATGGTAAGGAAAACTCCAGGGAGGAGCAAGGGGCATACTTTACCTCTACAGGAGCTCATTTCTAGCCCAGAGGTGCCAGGGCACACCAAGCATTTCTGCTCCCCAGGAAGGGTTTGGAACATATTCCAAGCACCAGTCCAGCTATTTCCTTCCGGCCCACCTGACCGCAGGCTCATGTCTGGGGACTTGAAGGCTCTGGTTGGTATCAGCAACTGAAAAAGCAGAGGAACTCA